AGATAGAGAGCAACTTGGCATGTGCAGAGCAGGGTGAGCCAGTGTATTAGTGGATTTTAAACAGTATAGACACTTATTTTTAATGTTTTACACAGCTATACCTGCAAAAGGCGTCAGCATAAAGTGATCTAGCAGTACTTAATTTTGTGACTGAAGTTCCATTTTAAATGTATCTGTGCTTTACGAGACATTTCCAGGTGTAATCAGACAACATATTATTTTTTTTTTCTAGTTAATAAAACTAAAACTGTTGTTAGACACAGTACTTCAAGGAAATCTGTTCTGAGAGAGATATGGTTTCTGTTACTGCAACTTACATTCTGCTATTTGGTCTCTTGATTCAGTATTTATAAAATCACTAAACCAGGAATAATGTGTAACAAAAATGAACTCAGAACTGACCTGTATACTTCAGTGACAAAAAAAGTATTATAGGCAGTAAGTCAGTTTGGCAAGCAGACAAAGAGGCAAATCAGTAACATCAACCTATATATTTCTTTCACTACATAATCTTTGTAAGAGGAAGATGGAGCCTCCTCTGTCCAGGCAGCAAGTAATAATGTTAGGGATTATGTCTTTACACAACCACTTAAGGCTCACAGTGATTAGTTCATAGTGCAGATAGATTTCATGTAACTGTAATAGCAGAATTAAAAGAAACAATTCAAGTAGCTAGCCTAGCAGATTAAAAAATTTGATATTTAATGTAAGGAGTACATAATTGAACTACAATGTATTTTTAAGCTTTGCCTGCATGAATCCAGGAACAAAATGGTGTTGATTTAATACAGGGGTAAAGCATGGTTGCTTTGCAAAGATAATCACTTTGCAAAGTAAATTTTTAGCTAGTGAATGCAATGAAATTTGCAAAGAATAGTCAATATTATGCATACTAATAAAAAACAAACACAAAACTAGATGTTTGCTCATACATGGTTGGATGATTGAAGTCAGCAAACCTTCACCATTCATTAACCTAAGTGAAAAAATTTGCATTGTTCAGTAAACAGGCTATACTCCTGTAGCGTTCAGATGATACGTAGAACAGCCATGTTTTGTACATCAGATAACTGAACACTGTCCATCAATTTCTGTATACAGGGCTTCTATCATGTTCTCCTCCATAAGTTACAAGACTCTTTCCCAGGCTACATTTTACCTTTCTGGTTTAAAGTGAATCTGTATCTAAAAAATCTTGGTGGCTAACATTGCTGAACTTTTCTTTTAAAAAGTGTAGTTCCCTGACTGCAATAGTTATACTCACTGAGTCACTGACCTATAACGAGTATTAAGATAAGGAATTCTGAAATAATTCTGACATTAAAACAGTAGTAAACCACCAAAAATAAAACCCTGAAAAATATTTGCATAACCTTCTAGTATGCATTGCATACTAGCACATTATGAAACACTTACGTTAGAACTAAGCCCTCCTGCGGCACTCTGTCACTGCTGACAGCACTTCCATCTTCACCTGGTCTTCCTTCTGGGTTCGTGGCTCTAGCCGCTTGGTTTGCCGAGCCAAGATGACGTCACTCCCATGCGTGCCCACAGAAGTCTTGGCTGCAGCACAGGGGCACATACACTGGTGAAGTCATCAGCTGCAGGGACACTGAATATCTCCTAAATGGTGAATGTTTAGGAGATATTCCTTGTACCTACGGGTAAGCTCTATTATAAGCTTACCTGTAGGTACAAATGTCCAGTGGGAGTTTACTTTCCCTTTTAAATGTTTTTTCTGGGTCTGTGATTGCAAATATACTTGTCAGCCACAGCCAGGAAACTATAATTTTTTCAACAGGTCAGTATGGGCAACCCTGGTACTTCTTTCACGACAGAGTAACTTTAAATTCTCGCAGTTATCAGAATTTTCTCTTTGATTTCTACACTCAAGTTTAGAGCAGGGGTGGACTGACCATTTAGAAACTCGGGCACTGCCCGAGGGCCCGGGGTCAGTGGGGGGCCCCATGAGATGCCCCTGGTACCTTTTTCATAGGCTTTTTTGAGTTTGGGCAAGGACACAGGGGCCCCATGATCCCCTATTGCCCGGGGGCCCAATGAGTTTTCAGTCTGCCCCTGGTTTAGAGTACATTTACTGTACATATATAGAATATCAACAACCACTCTGGAAAAAAGCTGAGTTATTTTAAAGTTTAGTTGGCTTTTTAAGGCTGTTTTTTTTTAATAATAGCAAATGTGTGGTAATCTAACCAGAGGTTGGATTTGGTGATGGAAAAATTTGATATTTACACCCTGAAAAATTGTTGTAAAGTTAATTTTGAAACTCTATATAACATCTAGTATTGATTTAAAAAAAAACATAAAAGACCTGTTGGTTTGCTTTTCCACTTAAACAAAGGCCAGTTTACTGTCCTTCAGACTTTAGGGGGGCTGGACTGTGGACAGTGGGAGTAGATAATACCTCAGGCTTGGTGGTCAGTGGGAATAAAAAATTAAATAGCACCAGTGTGGTTAGGTGAAGGAGGAATAGTTCCAAGTCATTGATATTAGTGGGATGAATAGTGCACCATTGTTTGTGTCAGTGGGAGGAATAGTGCCCTACCTTTGGTTTCAGCTGACACTTCATCATTGGTGTCAGTGGGAAGAATAATACTCCATTGTTGATGTCAGAGGGAGGAAGAGTGCCCCAAGGGCTGGAAAAAGGCAAGTGAAGGGCCAAAGTTTGGAGGCCACTGACATACAACAATGGACACAATATTGGGATTGTTGCCAAAAAGCAACCAATCGGGCATCATCTTTTCAATAATAACTATATTTGGTCAGTATTGATAACAGCTCCATGTTTGTGTGCATTTCTCTAGTTGTCTTTGCAACTTAGTGTGCATTTCTCCAGTTTTCTTTACAATTCAGTTTCATTTTCTTCTTTTTTTTTTTTTTTATGAACTTGATAAAACATGCTAAGGACAAGCAACACTTCTCCAGGGGTCATGTCTTAGATTAAATAGTTATGTTTCCATAAGAGTGGAATTTACAACATATTCAGAGATTAGGGATTTAGTTTGACCAATTTCCTGATTATAAAAAAAAAAAAAAATAAAAACTCTTCAAGTGATTGTTGTGTACGGCATTATGCAAACAATAAAAATAATTGAGTCATGTGCTTAAAAGTTTCAGACATTTAAGTAAAAGCAAATTAGAAATAACCAGGGGCAAATATACAGATCATGAATTCTCACTTTACACTACTCTACTAGTTTAAAGTAGAACTGAAGGCAAAACTTTGTTTTCGTTTTGTGTAGAATGGAGAGGATGTAGAACACCTGTCAGTTTTTATTGCTGTTTTGCTGTTTCCTGTTCGGGAGATTCACTCTGTCCATTTGTCCTGGTGACCACTATCATTATAAGTGAAAGCAAAAGAAAATTCCTGAATATTGAGTGGTCACCATAATAGAGGAGAAATCCTCCAATGGGGGCATCAATTCTTGGGATACTGGTAAATAATAGAGATTTCCCTCACTTTGGAAGCATTTCCTCTCATCTCACTTCCTGTTGTGGGGAAGAGAAAGAAAAGAGAAATCTACCAAATGGGACACAGGTGGAAAAAAACTGGCGGGGGTTATAACTTTAACTTTATAACTATTAATCCAAAAGAAAAAAAAAATTGCCTTCAGTTCTATGGTAAAGTCAGTGGCTTAGAACATGTGAAGTCAAAAGGATCAGCATGACAGCCTGTAATATGGAAACTTAGGACTACCAGCTAGCCACTTCTAAAAGTAAAAAGTCTTTTATTGGTCTTTTAAAAAAGAATAACAAAAGCAGCTTTTTCAGCAAAATAAAGCAAACTGTTCATAAAGAGCACACAGCATGGCTCACTGCCAGTATCTCAGCCCCACATTGGGATTTAGGGTTCCCAACTGTTTTGGGGCAGGCAACAAGCTTCAGGAGCCAAGCAACACAGTCTCCAGAGAGTTCACACTTGTTCACAGCTGTGAACCACTGCACATATTTTCAAGACTCCCTTGCTTAACTCCTTTAGGACCAAAGTCCCTGTAATAAGGGTTTGAAGGTATTTTCTCACCTAAAGTCTCTTTGAACCTCCACATTTTAGGTCTCAAATAAGGACTCTCCAATCGTGAGAGAACTGTAAATCAGTCCTCTTCTCCCCAACTGGACTACCCTGGAACCTCTTACCCTACATGGGTGAGAATCCCTGACTACTCAAAATACACACAAGCCATCTCTCTTAGTACTACAACCCAAATAATAGAGAAATGTATCTCCCATTTAGGACCCATCCCTGGCGTCCTGTAGACAGCCTTACAAATATTAACATTAGAATAAGTTTGCAAGGACAGCCTCCTTAGCTGCACAATTTGCTTTTAAATAAATCTACTCATTTAAAGTGTCAGTGAGATGGATTTACTAAGACAAATAGACTGTGCACTTTGCAAGTGCAGTTGTACTCCTTTTCCAAAGAGCTTAGTGAATGTAGTGAAGTGTTTTGCTGATTTCCCTCATCCAACCATGTGAAAACAAAATGTTGTTTTTTTGTTTGTTTTTGTTTAAATTTGATCTTCTTGACAAAGTGAAGCTTCACCCCGTTCGCTGAGCTCTGGGGAAAATGAATACAACTCCCTTGCAAAGAAAAAAGCCTATTTGCCTTTAGTAAAATCAACCCCAATGTCTCACAACTTTTTTTTTTTTTATATACAAGAACTAATATTAGAGCTTTAAAAGTGTTTACCTATTTGAATGTATTTTACCTTGCCATATATCAAGATATATATTCAATCCAACAGTTTTAAAGAGATATCTGTAGAAAGAACTATTAAGTATGTATATAGGACACTAGTACCTTCTGAGACATACTATGTATTGACAAGAAGATTATACAAAGTAATCTGTTCTAATCACTTTGCTTGTACACTGTACTGATATACTGCAATGTAAGACACACTAGTAATGTAGCACAAATAAGCACTAAAACTAACCATATACTGTCTATAGTTTTTAGGAAAAAACATAAAAATAACCCTTACCATTTCGACATCTGAAACTGGACCAAAGCTAGTCACATAGATATCAGTTTTGACTTCAGTTACAGGACCTGATAGATATATTAAGAAATTTTGTTACTGATTACTGAAATGTACTACATTAGTAAATTAAAAGAAGTAAACATATCAACTATATATAAGATCCAAAAATACTTTATTGCACTTCATTCTAATATTTTACATTGTTTTAAATTTTTTTGCTCACAGAATTTACCTCCAAATCCAGGACGGAGTCTGTTGTCATAACCATCTAGTAGTCTATCCAAGATGCGAGTTATATTTTCAGAGTAAATATTGTCATGAACTGTATATTCTCCAAGACCTGTACTTGTCCTACAATATTGGAAAGTAATTGTTTTTTAGCTATTTAAGTCACTTTTAAATTGTAGTCCATTTCAGTACAAAAATACATGACACAACATAATGTACTGTAATACAATACAGTGACACATAGTGATATTGTAATATAATATAGTATTATTAATAATAATAATAAAAATAATACAGCTCTAATACATTAGCAGTAATATTTTAATTAGTAATATTAATTTACTCACCTTAAATTGATGTAGCATAACCAGAAGACCATCCAAGCCATGCCTCTGTGCAGTTAAAATGACCAGTGAAATCTTTTTACCCAATTACCCGTGCTAAGTTTCACATGTCATACATTTTTCTTTTTTTTTTTTTGCTTTTTCTCTATAATCCAGTTAAAATTCAGTGCAGAAGTATGTGGTGCAGATGGAAAATTTCTCCCCTTTTTTGCTCTTTGATTTCCGTATCACGGTTAAGACTCAACTGACTTGTTTAGCTCAGGGAATTAGATGTTTGAAGGGACAGTACACGCTTGGAGAGCATTGACAATAATCGAATAAGGCATTATGGGAGATTAAAAGGACGACATCCACAGCTAGTTTTGGCAAAGAATTAGCAGGGACCTGTTAGGAAATCTGGACAAGCCACGGTTTTCTCGCTGATACAGAATGGCCCTTGCTCCTGCCATGTGTACTAAAAGCCATGTATATTGCAATGATCATTGTAACATTATGAAAAATATCTTAATTTCTCATCTGAATTTACAAATATTGCATCCACTGGAAAACAGCCAATAAATAATATTTAAGGTCTGAGTGTTACATGCAATTAGCATGAAAAAATGGATTCATTATTTTTCCCATTGAACTAATCCCTTAAACCACAGTAAACTAGAGTCATTAACCCCAAATAAAGAGATATAAGATGATTAAAAAGTGCATCAATTACGTATTCCTGTCAATTATGCCTATGTGTCGTGATGGTTAAGACTTAATAATCAGGAATCGAATCATTAAGCACCCCAAGCTATAGTTCATTGGGTGGGTTATTACATAGAGTCCATTGCAAAGTCAGGCAAAGAGTTGTACTCATTTACTTCAATTAATGATGTAAAATGCAGGCTCATTTTGCTTGCATTAGAACAAACCAGCTGGAAATTATATTGTGAAGAATGCAGACAATGATAAACAGCTAATTGGCATTGAAACAACATCATTCACTTTATTATGATGCTACAAAGCAGATATCGATATTTCTTGGGAAGATATAAAACTGATCAGTATTGTTGCTCATTGTAATAGTAATATGCTTTTACATTTCTGCATAGTAAATATTTGCATTAAAACAGGACTCCAAGCAAACTTTATATATGCCAAATGGTTGTGTGTCTATAAATCTAGTCCTGGTATTTACACGGCCATACCAACCCATCTATGTTGGCAACCTAATTTCTCTCTCCTGCTGCTAGTAAGCAAAACAGGTTGGTCAAATTATTTGCTAAACGTATCATTGGACAGTCAAGGAGTAGCAGATAAATTGATGCTGCATTGCTCACTCTCCATTCTACTTCTCTTGCCATGTTTTTGGCTAGCACATGTGCATACAACACACCTTATTAGCTCCTCATGCTGGTCCTGACCCATCTAGGTATATTTAGTCAAATTCAGGTACGTAAACTAGTAAAATTTAAATTTAAAGATACATTATTTATATTAATGAATACATTGGGTCTTCATTGGTGTTCTATATATCTTTCTGGAGTTCCGTTTTGAAAATACTCTGATATTGAATTATTAAGGGCAAATAGGCTATTCACTTCGCAAGTTGTGAAATGTTACATTTTGCAAGGAGATTTGCCCCAGAACGTAATACATGTGGTAAAAGTTTCACTTTGCAAAAAATACCCAACCATGTGCAAGAAAAATAAAAAAACAGCATTTTTACTTGTACATGATTGGATGATGGAAGTTGAGCTTCACCTCATTCACTAAGCTCTGGGGTGAATTCTCTTGCAAAGTGCAACTACCCTTGCAAGGTGGACAGCTTATTTGTCTTTAGTAAGTCAACCCGTTTGTCTCAAAGACAGAGCTGGTATCATGAAGCGGGCATTGGAAGACTAGGCATCTTAAGACATACATTACATACATATACTTACATAGTTAGTCTGGCTGAAAAAAAAAAAAGACAAAAGTCCATCCAGTTCAACCATCCAAAAAAAAAAAAAAGTTATAATCTCACACCCACAGTTGAGGAAGGCAAAAAACAGTAAAGCATGATCCAATTTGCTCCTGCAGGGAAAAAAAATCCTTTCTGATCCCCTGAGAGGCAATTAGATATTCCTTGGATCAACTTTACCTATAGGGAGTCTATTCCATGTTAGTAACCAGTTTTGGATATTTTGTCTATCCAAGAAAGAATCCACTGAGCTGGCCAGAAACGGTAACTCTTGAGGGAGTCTATTCCACATTTTCACAGCTCTTACTGTGAAGAAACATTTCCGTGTTTGGAAATTAAATTGCTTTTCCTACAGGCATAAAGAGTGCCCCCCCCCTTGTCCTCTGTGATGACCTCAGGGTGAATAACACAGATTTCACTATATGAACCACTGATGTATTTATACATGTTGATCATATGCCCCTTAATCTCCTCTTCTCAAGAGAGAATAAATTCAGTTCCTCTAATCTTTCCTCATAGCTGAGCTCCTCCATGCCTCTTATCAGTTTATTTGCCCTTCTCTGTATTTTCTCCAGTTCCATGGCGGCAAAAAAGTTTTTAGGTCAAAAGAGGTCCCAATGTTAATTTTGTGAATTAGTGCCCAAAATCGAACTGCATATTCCATCTGATGTATTACTAATGATTTGTACAGGGGTAAAATGATATCTCTCTCTCTCTCTCTCTGGAGTCTATACCTCTTTTAATACAAGAGAGGATTTTGCTCACTTTAGAAAACGCAGCTTGGCATTGCATGCCATTATTAAGCTTGTGATCTACCAAAACTCCCAGATCCTTCTCCACCATTGATTCCCCTAGTTGTACTCCCCCTAGTATGTATGATGCATGCATATTCTTAGCCTCCAAGTGCAAAACCTTACATTTATCAACATTAAACCTCATTTGCCACATAGTTGCCCAATTAAACAGTGCATTGAGGTCGGCTTGTAAGTTGGAGACATCCTGTAAGGACTTTATTCCACTGCACAGCTTGGTGTCATCTGCAAAGACTGAAATTGTATTTTAAATCCCAGACCCTATATCATTTATAAATATATGAAAAAAATAAGAGTCCCAACACTGAACCTTGGGGTACACCACTGACAACCCTAGATCATTCAGAGTATGAATCATTAACCACTACCCTCTGAATAAGATCTTTTAGCCAATTTTCTATACATTTATATATACAGATTTTTCCAAGCCTGTAGACTTTACCTTACACATTAGCCGTGTATGGGGAACTGTGTAAAATGCTTTTGCAAAATCCAAGTATACCACGTCCACCGAATCCACTATATTGCCAAAAGTATTGGGATGCCTGCCTTTACACACACAAACCTTAATGGCATCCCAGTCTTAGTCCGTAGGGTTCAGTATTGAGTTGGCCCACCCTTTGCAGCTATAACAGCTTAAACTCTTCTTGGAACACTGTCCACAAGGTTTAGGAGTGTGTCCATGGGAATGTTTGACCATTCTTCCAGAAGCGCATTTGTGAAGTCAGGCAATGATGTCAGATGAGAAGGCCTGGCGCGCAGTGTCTGCTCTAATTCATCCCAAGGGTGTTCTATCAGGTTGAGGTCAAGACTCTGTGCAGGCCAGTCAAATTCCTCCACCCCAAACTCGCTCTTCCATGTCTTTATGGACCTTGCTTTGTGCACTGGTGCGCAGTCATGTTTGAACAGGAAGGGGCCATCCCCAAACTGTTCCCGAAAAAAAAACCCCAACATCATAATTCCCCCTCCACCAAACTTTACACTTGGCACAATGCAGTCAGGCAAGCACCGTTCTCCTGGTAACCACCAAACCCAGACATGTCCATTAGATTACTAGACAGAGAAGCATGATTCATCACTCCAGAGAACACATCTCCAGTGCTCTAGAGTCCAGTGGTGGCGTGCTTTACACCACTGCATTCAACGCTTTGCATTGCACTTGGTGATGTAAAGCTTGGCTGCAGCTTGTCCATGGAAACCCATTCCATGAAGCTCTTTATGCACTGTTGTTGTGCTAATCTAAAGGCCAAATGAAGCTTGGAGGTCTTCAGCTAGCTTGCGCTGACCCCGCTCTGTCATTTTACGTGGGCCTACCACTTCATGGCTGAGTTGCTGTTGTTCCCAGTTGCTTCCACTTTATTATATTACCACTAACAGTTGACCGTGGAATATTTAGTAGTAAGAAAATTTTGCGGCCGGACTTCATACACAGGTGGCAACTTATGGTACCACACTTGAATTCACTGAGCTCCTGAGAGCAACCCATTCTTTCACAAATGTTTGTAGAAGCCATGCATATCATGTGACATATCACATGATGTAGAAACACGTGATGCAGAAAGAAAGGGACAGCTGCCTTTAATACTCAACGAGGTGTCTGATTTAATAAAAGGTATTTTTTACGTACTTCAATCCCTGACACATAGCCACATCTCCAGCTGCAGCCACATCTTTCCTACATCTTGCATACTGATTTCCACATGCACTATATAGAATTTCAGTATTTTCTTCTATAATAAGGCTGCCAACTCATTACAGTTACAAAGATCCCCTATCAGGTCAATTTTTGGAGCTGTTTATGCTCCAAAAAACAAACATTTTAATCTGAAGTGGGTGTTGTTTGTATTAAAGGACATTAAGATAAAAAAGAAAAATATGTTGCAGCCTCTTTGAATAGCTATAATTAATATGTATGTTTGGATTTGAGTTTAAAGATGCAGCATACCCTAGAGAATATGCCAAACTATTACTGATTATTTTGATAATCAGGGAAGGAGTGATAAGTATGGAAACACAATAAACCTGTTAATAAATAAATAAAAGAGATAAGTCCAGGAGATGGCATGCACCTCATTGGACTTAATTTATAGTATGCATATATTACAAAGTGGCAGAATTCCTGGAACTCAGATTTAATTTGCCACAGTTCTGACAATGAACCAGTGCATTCAATTTAATTAAATTGTGCATTCAATTTAATGTGTAATCATACATTCCTAGGAGAAGCTAGGAGAAGTCAGTGATTGAGAAGGATATGGGTGTTCTGATAGATCATAGACTTAATAATAGCATACAA